AGTCATGATCACAAAACATGACCTTTTCATGCGACAAAAATTTGGTTACTTGTTGGCATGACTGTATCTTTCGACGTGGGGATTTCTTGAGGGGTGTCAGTTAACCGTATTTACCGACATCGTTACCATTTGGATGAATAGTCCTGGTCCTCATCAATGTTTATTCGACATCAAACTCTTTTCAGTCATTACTGTATGTTCCATCTTCCCGAGGCAAGGGAATGACCATAAAAGTCCACTTTTCACCCTTGCCAAAGCAGGCTGCAATTATGGAGTTATATTTTGGCTGGACTAAAGAGTCCATGCATAGTCCAATCAAAAACGCGTAACGAACTAGACATCCGGTTGGTTAACATCATGGATTTCAACCTGCAAATTACGGTCGGCTGCAGGATTTGCCATGCATTTGTACCGCCAACTGGGCGTCGACAGATATTTTGCAAATCTATTCATGTTTTTAATCAAGATGCTTAAGTGATTTGATGCACTTCGCGTGGTAAGACCCGTTTCATTATGATATATATAGATATTAATTATCGATCAGATCGTCGTCACTGGGCGCCGCCATTTTGTTTGAAGATGTGTATGTTCCTGGGTGGTGTTATTGCACGTGAGCGCCTGAAAATATCCGGAAGGAAGTGATGAAGCAATATTTGAGTATAGCGTTCATCTAGTGACAACTTGACACAATCATCTGACCCAGCCGAAGCCACCTTGCGGTAGTTTGTAATCTGACGTCACGTTCAGAGAAGGATGCCAAAAGGTGTAGAGATAGGCATGTGACACAGAAAGTCAAGGACTGACATATTGGCACATTGACAAGCAGAAACGTTTGTACGCCTACTGACAACACAACATCAAGGAACTTTATACAACCAGCGTTGTCAAAGTTCAGATCCTACACTCTATTAGTCTGGATAACCTCTTGTAAACCACATAGTTGCAACAAGAACTGCCACGATACAGGACAACACTAATGACACACAGGAACAGTCTCGTCAATGCCTCGACTTGGCTCGGTGACCTTACTACATTTATTATATATCCAAACGGTTTCCGCCGGAAGTTTAGTTCGTTTAAGCCTTTTATCACAATTGTACTAAATGGAAATGTTTCGTTATTTCAATTATTTGAATATAATCGAGATTTCCAGGTCTTTTCTCGTTATTTCAATTATATTTTCGTAATTTCAGTTATTTACTCATTATTTCAATTATTATACATACACTGCGAGTATTTTTCTCGTTACTTAGATTATTTTTGTGTTATTTCAAGTTTATTTAAAAAACTCGTAATTTCGAGAAAATAATTGAAATGACGAGAACAAAAATTGAAATTTCGAGTTTTTGAAATAAACTTGAAATAACGAGAAAATAATCGAAATTCTGCCAAAATATCAGAGTGACGAGAAAAAAAAATCGAAGCAACGAGAAAATAATTGAAATAACAAGAGAATAATCATTAGTAACGATAAAGAAATCGACATTTGCATGCATGTACTTGTGCTGTCTCGAGAATTTCCAACAATTATGAGTTCTAATGCATGTTACAATCATAATGTCATTTTGTATAATATTAAAGTTGTATTGAATTATTGGCAAGATACAAAATGCATAGCTTGCTTGCGTATATAGTCTGTACTGAGGCAAAGTACAAATACGTGTTTATGTTTTATAAGATTGAAGTAATGTGAAGTTATTGGTATGAAGCAAAATGCATGGCTTGCTTGTGTATATAGTCCGACTAGTGACAAAGTGTACGTGCAATATTCACGACACTAAGATGCATACATTTTGCAATGTTACGGTCACTGCTGGATTGGACGATCACTGCTGGGATTGGACGATCACTGCTGGGATTGGACGATCACTGTTGGGGTGGGACGATCACTGTTGGGGTGGGACGATCACTGTTGGGGTGGGACGATCACTGTTGGGGTGGGACGATCACTGTTGGGGTGGGACGATCACTGTTGGGGTGGGACGATCACTGCTGGATTGGACGATCACTGCTGGGATTGGACGATCACTGCTGGGATTGGACGATCACTGTTGGGGTGGGACGATCACTGTTGGGGTGGGACGATCACTGTTGGGGTGGGACGATCACTGTTGGGGTGGGACGATCACTGTTGGGGTGGGACGATCACTGTTGGGGTGGGACGATCACTGCTGGGATTGGACGATCACTGCTGGGATTGGACGATCACTGTTGGGGTGGGACGATCACTGTTGGGGTGGGACGATCACTGTTGGGGTGGGACGATCACTGTTGGGGTGGGACGATCACTGTTGGGGTGGGACGATCACTGTTGGGGTGGGACGATCACTGCTGGGATTGGACGATCACTGCTGGGATTGGACGATCACTGTTGGGGTGGGACGATCACTGTTGGGGTGGGACGATCACTGTTGGGGTGGGACGATCACTGTTGGGGTGGGACGATCACTGTTGGGGTGGGACGATCACTGTTGGGGTGGGACGATCACTGCTGGGATTGGACGATCACTGCTGGGGTGGGACGATCACTGCGGGGTTGGGACGGTAACTGCGGCGGAAAGACGGTAACTGCGGGGGCGGTGCACTACGTGCGCCCTGGTGTACGATGACATTGCAATATATATGGAGTTCAATAATTATTTCTTCTAAACATAGACTCATCATAAGAACTGCCTGACAGCACATGGTGAACAGGACCTTGTTTGGCGCATGTCGTTACGTCATCACCATGTGACATTTCACTCTACGTACATCCGTAGCTGACAAATCGTTGGTTTGAATACTCTCGAGTTCGTATCGCAACCAGGATTTTTTGGCAACCAGGAAGAATCGCGGTTATTATTATTACTCAGAAAAATGGATTCAAAGGTAAAAGTTTTACATTGGAAGTGGAATGTAGACGCTCACGTTACTTGGTATACCTATATTTCACGCGGGGTGATTTTTTGTAAAGAACTTTCTTTCTTCATCGGTAACAGAAACAATGTTTCGAATTCGGTTTCTATCCGTCCACAAGATCCTGCTTAACACTGCTTGTAACAGCCGACTTAAAAGCTGATTGTTGCGGTTATGTACGCGCGTACGTGTTGTATCCCTCAATGCCGAGGTGAGGAGAAATGGGGTTAACGTTACGCACATGCACGTTTGTCTCTGTGTGTGTGGCTGCTTGTACTAGCCCGGACTAATGTCAATTTTATAGTCCTCGCCCACTGAGATACCATGCCGCAGTTTAACATGAATACCCCACTCAGACACAGTATACTGACTCCGAGCCGACCAGTCCTTGTTTTAGCCCCTTAATGCCGAGCGTCAGGCAGGGTAACAACAAGTACCATGTTTTAACGTCTTTTGTATGACCCAGTCGGGGATAGAACCCCGACCTTCCGCGCTCTCCGGGCGGACGCTCTACCACTAGACCACTGAGGCGGTCTCGCTTAATGCCGACCGCAAGGCAGGGAAAACACAAGTACCATATTTGAAGTCTTGACGCGGTGAGGTATCGAACCACCAACCTTCTTCTCTCGGACGCTCTATTCACTCGACGGATCTGGTCCCCGACTAATGGGGATCGGTTGGTGGCAATATGTGAATTGTGTGTGATCAACATCGTGTGGTATGCTGACAGCCACCAATTGTTTAAAAAGTCCAGAAATAAAGGTTTGTAAATCACACAGCTACATTACATTGCTATAGAACTATCTTGAGAACGTGCTTACGACCAACTGGTTTTAGCTCACCTAGACAGCCAAAGTAGCGGTCTGACAGGAGTATATATTTGGTGCCTTCATCGAAGGCGGTATGTACACAGTGATACATTAATGTCTACAGTTGGAGCTGTGGGTTAGTTTTGAGAAACAAGCGTTGACTCTTCACATCGAGGAGCCAGGTCATAATATGTAAGCTCTGTTGATCCGTTTCTTGGTGGAACTAACATCGGCATTACGGCAAACTACTCACTGACTATGGAAAACGTCGTCGGTCTCATAATGCACGACATGGGCACAAAAACAAAATTAATACTGGTTTTATTCTAACAGATCTCGATTTTCGTAAGAAAATATTAATCTTGTATGTCTACCGGTAAGGAAGGGCATGCTTACCCTTATCGCGAACACCTGGTGTCATCACCAATTTTCAGTTATCCATTCATATACTTTTGACCTCTATTTTGCATTTTACCCCCAAAGGAAACTGTTTCGACGATAATCCAGACCGGCTTTTCTCTGATGTTGACGTTTTATTTCTAATCTATGAAGATTAAAGTATTGCGTTAAATTGGATGAAAATGAAGTTAAAGATTTTAAATCTTGGAACGCTACAATTTTAAATCTAGTTTCTGCTGGCACATATTATTTGTATTTTCACAAGTTGGGGCGAAATGTTTGGTTATTTACATTCTCAATCACAGAAGTACGACAGTATTGGAGATGTGACTTTCTGTTTTTCACCCCATTATGCATTTGAACGACATGTCTTTGTGTCTATAAGAACATTAAGTATAATATCAGTTTTCTGATTTTTTTTACTTCACCCCATTCTAAAACTTAGTAACATAGGGTAGACCAGTCAGGGCATTCAGACATGACCTATGTTGTTTTAAGGTGTGTGATAAATATGACGTGTAACTAATGGGAGGATACCCCCACCCACCCCCACCCCCCCTTCCCCACCCCACCCCACCCCCACCCCCACCCACTCCCCAACCCCACCCTCCCCGGCCTGTCTTGATAAATGGATTGTTGTTCACAGTCAAAGACTGATCAACATGGAAAGTCCTGTAGTCCCTACTACCATCAATATTATTTGCTTCAATTATCAATAAATTAATATGAATACATATATTTTGTATTTGAATTTAGTCCAGCTCTGCTGAAAGTGTCCTTTGGTGTTCCCGGAACTAACAAAGTACATGATACACACAGACAGATACATGTATCAAGTCCTAGCAATTTCGGGTTTTCCACAACGGATATACGTCAGAGGATCGGCCAATCCTTCATTTTTTTTTATCAGTATATCACCTCAATGCTATTACTCTAACTGACAGTGTTAGTTTGCCTGTAGTTACATACATAGTGCCGCATTCACGAGTGTCATGTTTAGTATATGTAGTCGGGATCACGTACAGTACACTGTAACGGTAACTACCTCACTCTGACCCTTTCAGCTGTATAGCTGGGCAAAGGCGAGTCTTATCGGGCACTTCCCCCACAACAGCTAAACACGCTCACAAGCCGACACAGTTACAACTGGGAACAAAGCTATCGAGATGGGAGACACGGGCTGTGGACAAGATATGTACTATGATAAACCTACCAGGAGCTGTACCGATTGTTCGGTTCTCTGTGACAATATGGATATTCAGGCAACTCGAGACCAGTGCATGAAGTACTGCTTTGGTAAGTATATGAATAGTTGAGTGAACTCAGAGAAACAACTCGGAGAAACTACAGCACTCACGTTTCTGCTTGTATGGCAAATAATGTTCACAGTCGTCCTTACATTTAAGTGCTTGGTTAATGCTTGATTTATTTCAGGGTATTTATGTGTATGTATTATGTTAAATAATGTAAAACGGAATGTAATCAAATTCAAAGGAAAACACGGGATGCACTGTTTGGTATATACATCGTAGATGCCGTTTAAAGTGATGCTTGTATCGCATTTTTACATGTTTTAGATAGGATCATTTGTGATATTCACAATATTTATTTGACTTTACAAACATATGTATCTAGCAACATAATTAGTATAAGTAGCTTGTACATTTATCTAGTAACATCCTCAACAGGATATTTTCTCACACTCTTTATAAATATATATTCTTCATTTCACCTCCATATCTGTTGACTAATTGGTCTGTTACCAGGCTAAGGGGCGGTCGGGTAGCCCAGTGGTTAAAGCGTTCGCTCGTCACGCCGAAGACCCAGGTTCGATTCCCGACATTGGTACAATGTGTGAAGCCCATTTCTGGTGTCCCCCGCCATGATATTGCTTGAATACCGCCAAACGCGGCGTAAAACCATACTCACTCACTCACCAGGCCTTTTCCATGATCTTGTTCCTTAATCTACCTGGAAATCATTAATTTTCCATTTCTTTATCACTTGCTAAATAACTTTCAGTTCGAATCTCATGCCAACTATATCATTAACTAATTTATTTTCTGGCCATTAGTTTACTTGAGGTTGGAACTGGTTTCTGGAGGCGACAGGGGGATTGGGTGGTCAAGTTCGGTGTCAATTGAGTGTCATCGAACCTCAAGGGAGCGTGGATCGTAGCAAACAGTATGAATCTCTAGTTGGCCTGAGGCCATTATTTACAGGCAGCCGTCATGAATAGCTCGAGGTAAACAACAAACAGGAAAAGACTTTATTCGCGCTGCGTTATCCTGTGTGACTTTGTGTCAAAAACGCCAATCGAGCAGAATGTTGGTTGTACGAGAATTTCAAGTTTACGAATCACGTGACTTTGAGAAGGTCATCGGGGTGGATACCCCATCATTACATTTATGTAGATCTCACTAAATATAGAAAGTCATTCAAGGCGAGTCACGAAATGGGGACTTCGTGATTGTACCTGCATCGGCATGTGAAGAAATACATTGACTATGTGGTTCTTGTTTTTGAGGTTTATCAGTGCTAGGGTGACCCAGTGGACAGCGCGTTACACATGTGGTCTGAGTTCGAGTCCAGTTTGTACTTATTCGCGGTTCGAATCCCTGTTCGCACCGATAATGTTTCTAGGTCAGCACCATACCCGTGTTCTTGGGTTTCACCGAAGTGGTAAACGTCCGAGACCTGCATCACTTCGGGTTTTCCTCCCACATCAAGCTGACACGCCGTGATACAACTGGAATACTGTTCAAAGTGGCGTTTAACCAAACTCACTCCCTCATTTAGACCCTTTGTTCCGTGTCTATATGTATGTACTCTACTCACTAATAATAGGGATACTGACATATTTATAATATTTCCGACAGCCTCAGTGGTCCAGTGGTAGAGCGTCCGCCCGGAGAGCGGAAAGTCGTGGGTTCGATCCCCGGCCGCCTCATACCAAAAGATGGTACCTGTTGTTACCCTGTCTGGCGCTCGACATTAAGGGGCTAAACAAGGACTGGTCGGCTCGGAGTCAGTATACTGTGTCTGAGTCGGGTATTCATGTTTAACTGCAGTGTGGTATCTCAGTGGGCTAGCACTATAAATTGTCATCAGTCCGAACAAGTACAAGAAGAACCCCACACACACGTGCATGCACGCCGCTATGTAAGTGCAATAATCTTGGACGCGACGTTAAACCCCATTTCACCCCACCTATACTATTTCTATTTTCTTATGATGAGGGGCGGTCGGGTAGCCCAGTGGTTAAAGCGTTCGCTCGTCACGCCGAAGACCCGGGTTCGATTCCCGACATGGGTACAATGTGTGAAGCCCATTTCTGGTGTCCCCCCGCCATGATATTGCTGGAATATTGCTAAAAGCGGCGTAAAACCATACTCACTCACTCCCATTTTTATGATAACCGCATGGTGAAGCATGGAAAAATAGGAAACAGAGCGTCCCGTCCTTCACCTTTGTATAGTGTATGCCCACGTAATACGTCAGCTGATCGACATAGCCCGGAATTGCATCCAGGTTGTGCAATACATATGCGCACCGTGCGTAACCCGTGGGCGTCACTGGGATGGGTTAAAGTCAATAGACACAATACAAAAGCAAGTCGTGACTAACTCACTGACGCTCGTGTATTAATAACCTTATACGCCAACCACAGCCGCCGCAGTAAAGTCTGATTGTTAACCGCAACTAAGGGCGATATAGCTATGCGGTAGTAAGCGTGTCCTCGTCGACACTATGCTAATGCAAATCTACACGCAGCTTCCTTGTCATGACTTCCTTTTCACGACGACGCGTATTAAACATATGCAGCGTCTTAAAAAGAAGACTCTTTTGTTCAAATTAAACAGAAATTGTATGTGTTTATTATGCTTTAAGGGGGCGGTCGGGTAGCCTGGTGGTTAAAGCGTTCGTTCGTCACGCCGAAGACCCGGGTTCGATTCCCGACATGGGTACAATGTGTGAAGCCCATTTCTGGTGTCCCCCGCCGTGATATTGCTGGAATATTGCTAAAAGCGGCGTAAAACCTCCCTCCCTCCCTCTCTCACTCACTCACTCTTATGCTTTAGTTGTTTGTTTGTTTTTTAACGCCACACACCAATATTGCGGCTGTATGACGGCGGTCTGAAAAGAATCGAGTCTGGACCAGACAATTCAGTGATTGATACCATGCATACTGATTGCTGTGTCTTGTTTATTTAATCTATTAACTATATGTACCGTATATGTTAGAACACCTTTGTCCCCATTTCACATACAGTGAACTCGCGTCATTCGATACTCCGTAAATCCGGAAATCCTATTAATGCTCAGATCGCTGCCGTTCGTATGGCATAAGTCTTGCTGGATAAGACTTTACCCATCAAACAAACATGTACTTAATGCAAATTGTGTGAGTGGCGGGTGCTACCGAGGGGACATTCCTCACCCTTTGCGAACACCTGGTGTTATCTCTTTTTTTTATTGATCCATTCATTTAATGTTCTTTTTTGTTCAATTTTTCCCTTTTACACCAAATGGAATCCGTTTTGGCTGATAAGCGATATTTGTTATTCTCTTGCGTTGTCGTTTTATTTTACACATACTGAACTGAACAACAATGTATGTATGTGTGTATGTATGTATGTATGTGTGTATGTGTCTGTGCGTGTCTGTCTGTCTGTCTGTCTGTGCGTGTCTGTCTGTCTGTCTGTCTGTCTCTCTGAATGTATGCTTAGAGAGCCTTTGTGATGAAAAATGCGTTTGATATACTTATTACATATAAGTATAATGGCACTATTGAAAATATTACTACACAGTTTCAAATACTATTCATAAATAGTTCCATAAATTATGCATCCCCAGTATCAATAGTGTCACACTTTTATGTTTAACACTGACTGTATTCGGCATCTTTGTTTCACATTGACATCTAAACAGACTACATGCAGACTACCTCAACCACGACAGTTGAGACATCGACACATCCAGTGATGAAAGCCCAAGCGCCAGTGTTGCTGTTGCTGTTCCTGTTGCTGTTTCTGATCACCTTCCTGATCTTGGGTAGCCTCATCTTCTACCACAGGAAAAAGTTGGTAGACAGGCTGAAGAGACAGGACTGCTGCAGAGGCGGATCCCAGCATCATGCGCAGGAATCTGGGCGAGAGATGGACCATTTCCGGTATGCACAGGAAACCAGACAGGACTCCGCCAAACCCGAAGCTCACAGTACGTATCTGACCTGAACGTGTTTATAGTCGTATCTCACGTTGATGACAGACTGTTAATATAGCATCTGAACCCATATACTGTGTATACTATACTGAGGACACCAGGTGTCGGCGATATCACCCGTTGTGCAGGAACGTCGACGTGACTTTGTATGTCTTGCAATTTGAAAACAAACGTTTCATGAATAACGTGATATATATTTTTACATTCTTTACATTTTTATTCATGTTGTGTCAGTGTGAAAGCTAAAATATAGTTATCTATTTAAAACTAAACGCTTCGGGGTAGATCCTAACCACCACATCGGGCTAGATTCAAATTAGCATTAACGACTCCCTGTTTGTATAATACAAGGTTGCACGTTTTTAGAATAATGGTATAGTTTGTGCTTTATAGACGAACAGTTGGTGTCATCACTTTTTAGTTTAAATATCCATTCATATGATTTTTATCACTATTTTGTCTTTACGCCTGATACAATCTGTTTCGGGACATAATCGAAACGATTATTCTCCTGCGTTGACGTTTTGAATTACCAATCGACTCGGGTTGTAGTCTTTATTTTTTTGCAACCGATGCTCCCTCTGCCCTTGTACAAACCAAAATTCGCTAAACGCTTTGAACTGATCATGTCAATCCAAATTGTAGGTCTACTTCCAAGCGGACACCAAGCTTTCCCAGAGATGCCACAACCAAAGTGAGGTCGAACGATTTGCGGTGTTGCCCAAACAACGACAGTGATTCTCTGCTCATTTTACCATGGGACCATGGCCCATCAACGACTGATGCGGCGTATCCTACATCATCACAGCTAACACCTCATGACAGCTAAACATTGCCCTTACAGTACTGCAGGTATACTGTAACTGGTTCTGATACACTTTTCCACCTCGAGTGATAGGACATGTGCCTTTTATAACCTGATTGTGAGTCCTCGTGAACACGAGTGTTGTTGGTAGACTTGTAATCTATCACGCTAAAACGTGGTGGATCAACATGAAGAAGCAGCATCACAGCTTTAAGACACAGTGGATGCTATTAAATATGATCTATTGAGTTGATGCTGGACATCGATTCAGAATTCATTGTGAGAGGCATTGCCAGGACCGATGTCTCCATGTGATGCTCTCTGTACGTCAGTCTTGTACAAGGGTATACGTTTTACGTTTTGTATCGCTTCTTGCAGCTGCTGCAAAAAATCAATGACGGCGCATAGAGAGGACATTGAAGAAGTGTTTTTAACATTTTGTGCTTAAGAACGATATTTTGTATAAGCGAGTTCAAGTGGTTATTATGTGTGTGCTGCTTTTAACGACTTTGTGTCACAAAAGTGTCACTGAACTCAATAACTGCCTGACAAGGCCACCCACATGTCACCTGGACAGTTTACTCATGCTGATAAATGTATGGCCACTGAATACACAGGGTGCGCGACTGGTCGCGTTCAGCTTGTGTTTCAGTTTGTCTTTTTCCATAACTGCCGAAGTTGACTGACGAAGGTTAACTTTCTTGATGTGTTCTATCGTGCCGGTGCCGTGACTGTGTGTTTTTACCTTGTCGTCACCCAGGCCACGAGGGTTCGCCACAGACGTCATGATCAGTGTGGACGACCGAATCCACCATATCCCTACATCTAACTGAGTGTCAAGGATATGATTTAGCTTCAGTTACAAGCTACATCAAAACCACAACTACGTTTGATAGAATGTAATCATTTGATGTTATCTATTTTTATATATTTCATTGCATATTTTGTATGATTCATCAACATTCATGCAGAAAATAAAAGGACTAATGTCTCTAGTTTTTCTCTTTTGAATTCTTTAGAATTGCTCGTCTGATGACACACCAAGCCACTGACAAATAATACCCCATGTCGTATTTTTACTTAAACGCGAACACGCACATAATTTCGCCTGTGTACATTTCAACAAAATTAACGTCACGTTATACAGAAAGATATATCTAAGTCCGATCCCCGTGGGGATTTCGGGTCACAATAGGTCAACAGTACCCTTTTCAACAAACGAGGATTCGTTGGTTAAGATGTTTGATTGTGTCTGGTTGTACTCCGACAAACTTCCTTGTCTAGATTCGAGCAGGAACAGACCCCGGTGATCGAGCCACACACGGTAGTACATCGTACGTGCCATACTTACAATTTGGAAAACATCCAGGAAGCGTTTTGACATAAACAACATGCACACCAATGATATAATATTTTTATGATCCTTGTATTGCGTCAGTGTTAACTTCCCTTTTATACAACACGTACCTTCATTTACAATTTATCACGTCATATGTCAACTGTTATCTTGGTTATTGATGTGTCGTGTCATACAGTAAACTAAAGAACTGCCGGATAAATCGAAATCGTTTTTTGGTCCCGGCCATTTGCTGTATATATGCTTATAACGAACTAAAATTTGTGGTCCGTTCGTTATAACTGTAGTTTACTGTATGTGGTTACACAGCCAAACAATGTTTTGTACCCTATCGCTTCAAACTCGCGTTGACCTACTTATACATGTGCAAGTTATATATATCCTCGAAAACACGGGACTCTTCCTGGTGAGGAAGCACCAGGATGTCATGCATTTTCTGACAAATGGGATCATGTTTTTGAAACACGGACTGAAATTCTTAAGTTGCCCTTCAACAAAAATAACGGTACAGTGCTTCAGTCTTCGATAGTCAGATAATATCAGCTTGGGGATTTCCCCAAATACGCGTAGGATGGCGTGTGGGTGAGGTATGATCACCACATGTTACAAAGGGAGTGTTCAAGCATATGCCAAGTTAGCGTCTCTTCTAATCGGACCCTTCTACACGTTGGGGAAAACCAAGATGTTCGGATGTACCGTGTTCCTGGCGGTGTTGACCTTCATGTCCGTCGTGACCCCTGGGACATCAGGCGGACTCGTCAAATGTAACCCTGGAATGTATTATGACACTGCCATTGGACGCTGTGACGTTTGTGATGTCATTTGTGACTATGCTGAGATTCAAGGCACTGTACATGAGTGTAGTGAAAAGTGTCCTGGTGAGTTACATTTCTCTACACAAGAACCATTAGAATGACTTGTATTGAATAGAAGTGTATGAAGCCACCTGTCTGTAAAAAATATCGACTTCACAATACACATTATTTAAATTCTTATCACTTTTTTCCCGTAGTTTATAGTATATATTTTTATTACGTTCATAAAATCAGAACATTATCATCTAAAATAAGTGTTAACTTCAAATGCCTATTTTTCAGAATATAAAACTACGACCGCTAGCAAGCCTTTCATATCAACAAACCCCTCGCCAAGTAAGTCGAACTATAGTCTTTTATACTAATATATTGTACTTAGTCACTGATTTAATTCTCTCAACCAACAGCACAACCACATAAAAAGATTGGACCACTCCCCAGATGTCGACTCGTGGATATTCTGGTTTAGAATTATAGGTCATCAGCAACCTGCGAGACAACTTAATGGAATTCTTTTCGACACAATTCGCCAGTCATAGTTTACAATGGTTCAGGGTCATGTTCATAATGCGTGGGGTGTCATAAGGAACAGCTGACAGAGTAAACATGTTTGTGTTGTTCAGTGCGCGGCAAAGGTTAAGTGACGTATTGGCTCCTACGCATTAATCGACTACGTTATTAAAGTGTTAGGTGACCTGTTTGGAATGTTATGTTTTTTAAGTGTACAAGCGTATCAATGGGACTTCGTATAAGAGCGAATAATGTTTTCGATTAGTTGGTTGGTTTGTTGTTTAACGCCGCACTCAGCAAATTCTCCAGCTGTATGTCGGCGGTCTGTAAATGATCGAGTCTGGACCAGACAATCCAGTGATTGACATCATGAGCATCGATCCACGCATCAACCAAGTCAGCGAACCTGACCACCCGATCCCGTTAGTCGCCTCTTACGACAACCATAGCCGCCTTTTACGGCAAGCATGGGTTGCTGAAGATCTGTTATACCCCGGATCGCCACGGGTCAGATAGATCTATGACTTGTCTTTAGGTAGAAGGGGGCACGGGTGGCCCAGTCGTCTAAGGCGCCGCGATTCGATGTGCAGAGTTGCGTCCCTTGGGCACGCCAGAAACCTATGATTGTGGGTTCGAATCCCGGTTCGCCCCAATTATGTTTCTAGGTTTGTCAGCACAATACCCGTGTTCATGGGTTTCACCGAAGTGGTAAACGTCTGAGACCTGCATCACTTCGGGCTTTCCTCCCACATTAAGCTGACAAGCCGTGATATAACTGGAATACTGTTAAAAGCGGCGTTAAACCCAACTCACTCACTCACTTTAGGTAGAAGTAACCTATTCCAGATTATAGGTCTTCCTAATACACTACCAGTATTCAACTCTACATTCATAGCCCTTCCTCGCATAACAGCGATGCAAAGGGCTTGGTGGGTCATCTCTTCAATGGGAGTGCCCCTGACAATGAAACGCCGACTCACAATAACCTGCTATCGGATGTCAAGTTTCACAGCATTGTAAACTTTTCTAAGTTGTCATACATGTCAACAAACATATTTCTTCTGCTCTGTTGAACATTAGATTATCTCATTTTCAGGTTCGCCATCGGGGGACAGGCACGGCGGCTTCACGATGTCAACACATGCATCTGCATCTTCATTGGGGGTAATATATGACCAACCAAGGCTTATACTCCTCCTTGTGATAGCCTTGTGCACTGTGACTATCCTTATGTCGACAGTGATAATCCTGCTGGTTGTATGGAAGCTCAGAGGGGACACGTCGCATAGGAAGACAATCTACAATAAAATAAATAGGACACCATCTCCAATATACGCGAATGGACAAAAGAAGAGAATAAACGGAGACTACGTTCTCAATGGACTATTGGCACGGGACAGTGTGGATGTGTGAATCATTTTGCTGAATGTTTATGTACGTGGTGAAATTTGAACGCTTCCATTGGCATAAAAATCAACCAAATGATATTATGATCGTGATGATATATTTTTTGCGAAATAGATCATATCTTCGTATATCTATTGGTCATGTTAATGCAAAGTGAGTATTTTCGAAGACAATTTGTACATTGCTGACAAGTTATATGTAAGTAAGTATCGAACCAGATAGAGGACCATTTATGCTTTAGATCGGTTTTTCAATCATTTAGTACATATTGCACAAAGTCATATACTTTATGCAAGGGAGTTTTATCCTTGGTCTTGGTTTTAGTGAGTAAGTGAGTTTGGTTAAACGCTTTGAACAGTATTCCAGTTATATCACGGTATGCCAGCTTAATGTTGGAGGAAAGCCCGAAGTAATGCAGGTCTCAGAAGTTTACCACTTCAACTTTTAACTGCGAATTGCGGCGCCCTAGACGCCTGAGCCACTCGTGACCATGTTTTTACATATTGGGGATGTTACATATATTGTTGTCATGTGTTTCTTTTATGACACTAATGTCTGGTGTCACGCTGCTGATATATATATACATGAATTATTGTTATAATTATCTGTGTCTGTGCATTGATTCCGAGAGTTTAGCACGTTGTTTCCATGTTTAAAGTTTATGTTATTTATTATTTAACGTTGTATAAAAAAATATATTAATATAACAAACATGATTGGTGTTTGACTTTGGATATGCCCCAGTGTAGATGACGATATCAATCCAACATCAGATCTCAATATGTCCTGTGTTTATGCCATTGTGTTACCTGTTATATAGATCCGTGAAGATCCGTAAGAGGCGAATATGCTTGTAAGAGACGACTAACGGGATCGGGTTGTCAAGCTCGCTGTCCAAACTGCATGTCGTCAATCACTAGATTGTCTGGTCCAGACTCGATTCATGTTAGACAGACGTCATACAGCCGGAATATTGGTGTGTGGCGTTAAACAACAAACAAACAAAACATGTTATATACGATGTGAAATTAATGTGTAGTTTCAGAAACATGTCAATTCAGTTCACAAGTGCCTATATCATTTAGAAATTAACTTGAATAAGATCAGAACACAATTCAAGACCAACTCTATTATTGTCAACGCGAAACGATAAAAAAATAGATTAAAAGTTAGATTGTCACATGATAATGGACATTTATTGAGTTATATAAAAGCGACCAAACTGTTTCTATAATCATAAGAAATCTTTGTTAAGAGCAGAGGGGATGCGACTACAGCTCTAACATAAGCCTGTGTTTAAGAATCACTATCAATGAATGATGACACCAGGTATTCGCAAAATGGTAAGCGTATCATGCCCACCTGTGGCACCCGTCACAAACACATGCAAAGGCAAATCAAATGTTCACCAGACCAAAATGGGATAATATGGGCCAAGCCAAGATTGCATTATTAGTGTCACTGATGCCTCACATTTGGACAAGGCCTTAGCTTTACTAAGGCCTTGATAGTTATGACCTTCAAGTTATGGCCCTGATGGTAAGGATCCTGATCAACAACTTGTGAACGAGAGTCGTGTGACGCTCTTTGAAATCTCCGTGCCCGATTGTACCTCAAAAGTTGTGAAAGGTAAACACCTAGGGCTGGAGTTGCACCTACATTGCTCCACATAAAGTGGAAGTTGACTAGTGGAAAGTTGAAGTCATCCCTCTTGTCATACAGTCTTGTCACTTGTCTTGTCACTCTGAATCTTTACGCACAGATTTTAAGATGAACGGTAGTTTAGGTAGGTAAATCGATGGAGGGGTTACTGGACGATACCAGATCATCAATATACCTGAAGCTTCTTGACCAAATTATCAAGTTTTGACTTTGTCAATCCAATCAGAAGTTCCTATTCATATGTAGATCAGCAAGAAGATAAGACGGGGGTGGGGGGTGGGTCAACTGGTGCCCACGGGAATGCCTACATCTTGCCTATGTTACCAATGAGGAAGTGCAGCATTTCAGTGTTATCTTAGTAAACTTTCATTTTTGACATATTGCCCTGAACCCATGAAGATATTGTCACCACGTTTGAAACAAAAGCCCCATGGTGTTTGTCATGTGGGATAGTGGTTTACCAAGGTGAAAACTCAACTGTTATGATAGAAACAAGCAAGAGCACGCTTTACAAGTAAAGTTGAAGTCAATCCTCTTGTCATACAGACCTGGGGAGAGTGTGTTGTCACGCCGAATCTTTATGCATACATCTTAATGTGAAACAAATCTAGCGGTTTAAAGCAGAAGCAATTAAGTTACAGCACCATATACAATCTATGTCTCTTTAATTTAAATAGTCAACATGAATATACAGTAAACTACGGTTATAACGAACACAAAGGACCTCTAATTTTAGTTCGTTATAACCGTAGTTCGTTATAAGCTTATATACAGCATAACTACAGCAAATAGTCGGGACAAAAAAGTAAGTTCGTTATATCCGTCAGTTCGTTATAAGCGTGTTCGTTATAAACGTAGTTTACTGTATAATTGACAAATATAATCTGTAACGATTGGTTGAAGGCCGCATTACATCACAGCCAGTGTTCAAATACAGTGATAAGTCAGTGAACTCCGGCCACGGCACAAGGACACCCATATTATTCATGATATGACACAATGGCCGCACCTTAATATTTACATGTATGCATTCACAAATAAACACTCGTATCAATACGTCCTACGCAATACCACCTCCCCCAACTGGGTTAACAATAAACGGTAACCTATTATGCGATATATCTCAACTTATCAAATGGATGGTCCTGTACAAAAAGGACATAATTAGAGCAATGGCTTCGACGCTGATAACATGTTTACGTGTTTCTAAATCGGATTTGTGACTCCGTTCTTCCAGCCGGCGTCTTTGTTGTGCTCTCTTCATAAACAGCCGTGAATCGCAGCCCATCCCATATTGTGCAACACAATAAAACGCGCTGTATATTTTTCAAGCTAGCATTATCGCGGCTCTACGTGGTGTTTATCGGGTACGTGTCGGGGGTTTAATCAGGGGTATCCACTGTAGATGTCAGTTGACAATTCACATAGGGAACCCTCATACACATGCTGTTAAGTGTGTACGTCATCTGAACATGGACTGCGACAAGGGGATGTACTACGACCGCGGCACCAACAGCTGCGCCTACTGCTCACAACTCTGCTCCTATGTTGATATCCAGGGAACGAGAGCCGAGTGTGAGGGAAACTGTCCGGGTAGGTTGGAAACGTTACTTGAACCAAACTGAATTCTTCTCACTAAATATATAAACATCGCTGTCTCAACGTGTCCGTATGTATACCGCCAATCAAAGGTTTTATAACGTGACTTCTGTATCTTAACTTACTCGCAGAATGGACGACTGTGGTTCAGAACGGACGTTTATGGTTCAGAATTCAACCCACTCAAATACAATGTCCACCCGTCAATGCACACAACCCCATCCACACACGAGCGCCTACAACAGTCTGAATAGAACAGCAGGATTACACATACATGTATGTTACAATTCGCCAGTCATAGTTTACAATGGTTCAGGGTCATGTTCACAATGCGGGGGTGTCATAAGGAACAGCTGACAGAGTAAACATGTTTGTGTTATAGGGTTCAGTGTGCGGTACAGGTTCAGTGACGTATTGGCTCCTACGCATTAATCTTCTACGTTATTTAAGTGTCAGGTAACCGGCGTGGAATGTTTATGTTTTTAAGTGTAGAAGCGCATCATTGGGACTGCGTATATTTGCGAATAATGTTTTCGATTCGAGTGAGTTGGGTTAACGCCCCGTTGAACAGTATTTCAGTTAGAGAGAGAGAGAGAGAGAGAGAGAGAGAGAGAGAGAGAGAGAGAGAGAGAGAGAGAGAGAGAGAGAGAGAGAGAGAGAGAGAAAAAAATTTTAAAAAATTATTATAAAGATGTCACGTGCAAATAACATATACAATACAATATAAACAATTATTTTGCACCCAGCCTTTACAGGCTTATGAGACATCGTATGTACAATTAAACATGTATAAAAGTATCAAAGTAAAACATTGTAAGCTTTTTTCTTACATTGTACCATCATATTTTCTTATTCCAGCAGCCAAGGAACTTTTGTTGGACACCATATTTTAACGTTATATGTGCATATTGAGATCGCAAGTTACCAAATGGCTGACTATTTGTAGTACAAAATAATAAGAAAAATAACCATCAAAACACCTATTTATGTGTATGTTAACACCAGTATGATTAAACCACTTGATAAGTACATACGTGCAAGTTTTAAATGTTAGGGAATATCTTTTAGTAAGAATACCAAATGATAATTTCAAAAGACCTAGTTTTAGACTGTTGTTGATGTGTAACCTCATTCGTCTTTAATTTCTCATCTGAGAAAATACTGTAAGCAAGAATAACAAGAGATAACTCCACCAAATACCTCTTCAAACTATTTCCTGTGGGATCACAGTTGACTAGATTTTGTGATACAATATAACAAGTAGTGTAACCGACAAACACTTCTTTACCTGCAAGTTAACAACGACAGTGTTTAACCCTTTGATTAGCATATACTTGCCAGCTTGTGATGGAAGTGCAAGCCGTTTCCCACTTTGGTTAGCCCTACGAGCACGGGAATAGTGCTGGCAAGCCAAGAAATATAATCATAACAGGATGGTTGACATTTTTTAATCACTGTTTTCATTTCATACACGCAAAGTGCGTTGTGAACACTGCTATTACAAAACTGCTGTTGAAAGTATACCCAATACACCTTACATATAATCAGTTCAGGTTAAAACTGAGTCAGGACCAGACAATCCAGTGATTGACATCATGAGCATCGATTCACGCAATTGTGATACACTGACATGCATCAACCAAGTCAGCGAGTCTGACCACCCGTTCTCGTTAGTCGCCTCTTACAAGCATGGTCACTGAAAACCAATGAGGCTGACTGTAGCTTATCGGGATCAATTAGGTAGTATGCACACATAATATATAGTAATTATGTCACAATCCTTGTCGTTAAAGGTGAATGGGACAAAATATTTTATTTTTTTTATATTTTAGTATCAAGACAATGTTCACAGTGTGACTAAAGATTATCTGTTATGTTCTAGGTTTCCTCCAGTCCACGACGCAGTCCACGACGCAGTCCGTAGTCACAGCCACGACGTCAGTCCTACAAGACAACCCGTGGTATATAGTCGCTATTGTCCTCTCGTGTTTGGTAGCGTTCGTTGCTCTGGGTGTCATCATCTATATGTACATCATACCAGCTGCAGTGAGAAGACTGAAGAAACAGGACTGTTGTGGGGATGGAGAGTCCAGGCAACCCCACACCCAGGAGACAGGATCCCCGGAGGTGCGGACAGAGGCGATGGGTACGGCTATATTTTTACCACGACACATTGAGGATGTAACACCCTTTATTATACAGCTAGATATTTCCCACAAGGACGCGGATAGAAATGAAATTATTTTCAATTTTCACTGAGCTTTATAACAATTGTTATATTGTTTCATTGTTAACGAAGGGACCCATAGCAAGGTTTGTCACAAATAATTCAAGATGACGTAATCCATTGTTCATGACGCCATGGGGTTTATTTGTGACGTCGTTCCAAGAATAGAGAAACTGAGCCGATGTCTCAACTTGAGATCACAAACCAACAATTTTCTACATTTTCTCAGAAAATTTACTTTGGAGAATATGGAGAATAATAAAAGAGCAACGAAGATTTTACGGATCAGCCACCACATCTCGTGAATTAAAGTTGAAAGTTACAAAATGTATTCACTCGGGAAGATGATACGTAATTCCTCGCTGTTCATGTGTTTGTCTTTAAATGTTCAATGAAACTTATTTTGTTATATTTTATGTTACCACATCATAACGTAAGATCTCAATGAAGAAATACAGAAAATGTGCTTTACACTCAATACGGATCGTGATCGATTTTGGTTTGTGAATAAAAATTACAATTAAATTTAATTAAAATGGACTTTGGAAAAAGTATCAATGATGGACTAGATATGTCTCTATATACCAGAAGGTCCACACGCCTGTAACTAATGTGAATGTGCACAATGTATAATTAGAAGAAAATATTTAAATGATAAAAAGAAATATAACTACTACAAATTCCTTTCCTTTCGATGACATTTCTTAACAACAATATATACCCGGTAACATTGAATACAATTTGTTTTAAGAATTATATCTATCAAAATGGCATCAGTATTGGTGTTTACGTGTGTTTTTTATTGTTGTCATCAGTAGATTTGCTGGGCAATAACAACGGACAGCAACCATGAACATCAACATCATCACGGTCAACGACATCGTATCAAGACTCACCCAGACCACCCATTTATGACATCAGTATTGCCTTGGGCATTATTCCAAGTCTCACTCAGATCATCTCTTAATTACCGTTACAGTGTGATGAACATGAGTCCCGGGATTCATCTAGACCATGTGTTTAATACAATCATATTGCATGAACATTGGTCAATGGCACCCTCATGATCAACACTCGCCGAGAAGACCATCACCTTATTGCGACTGGCATTATTCCAAGACACATCTGGACCACTTTAATACGATCCTATTGTCACGGACATTATTGGAAGAAAGAGCTGGACCGCGTGTTTAATACCATCCTACTGCCAATGACATTATTCCAAGACACATCTGGACCACTTTAATACGATCCTATTGTCACGGACATTAATGGAAGAAAGAGCTGGACCACGTGTTTAATACCATCCTACTGCCAATGACATTATTCCAAGACACATCTGGACCACTTTAATACGATCCTATTGTCATGGACATTATTGAAAGAAAAAGCTGGACCACATGTTTAATACCATCCTACTGCCATGGACATTATTCCAAGACACACCTAGAGCAAGGTGATAAACCTTACACCCAAGAGCCTGAGTCACATACCACACTTTCATTTTCAGCATTCTGTCCCAAGGGCATTATTTTTGTACTTAATAGCCTCATCATTCCCATAACATGCTGTAAATAAATGTCTTGTTTGATAAGTGATTATTAATGGGTTTTGTTATTTTCATTTGTGTTATCTATCTATACCCCCAGACAATGTTTTGTATTTCAGGACATTTGATGTGAATATAGTTTGCATTCATCTCTTTACATCGGACATCTTTACATCTTTACATCAACATTTTTACATTGTGTTGTATTTTCTCAAGTCCCTTAAATAATTGAATAAATATATTTTGATCTCATTATATAAATGTAAAGTTTGAGATGAAATGAGTATGAGTCATTGCACGAAACGATAAGGTAAAATGGAGTTTAAAGTCGCGTTCAAAATTAATTTGTGTGTGTGTGTGTGTGTGTGTGTGTGTGTGTGTGTGTGTGTGTGTGTGTGTGTGTGTGTGTGTGTGTGTGTGTGTGTGTGTGTGTGTGTGTGTGTGTGTGTGTGTGTGTGTGTGTGTGTGTGTGTGTGTGTGTGGCTGTGGCTGCCTGTACTAGTCCAAAGTTATGCCGGTTCTTCTTTATGATATACCGCAGTTACACAATTTTGTTTTATTCCTCATGCGCCAGTAATTTATTAACGTCTTTGGATATGATGCGACTAGGGAATTGAACCAGCGACCTTTTGCCCTCCGGGCAGACGCTCAATCCACTGCGCCAACCAAACCCCAGGACATGGACATGGTTTGTTTGTCACATCTACTCTGTGATAATCTAGTCCACCTAGTCAATCTACTCTACTGCTGATCGTTGACAGGTTAAGAAATATTATTTCTGTTCAACTTGTGAGCAATCTCATTAAAATCAGATCTAAGTTGTTGCTGCCGCTAAACAAAGATCTGAGGTCATCCCATTACGGGTCACGTCATGATCAGAACGACCTTTCGCGAACTTTGACCGACCACTGAAACGACTCACAAGAAGTCGACATCAGCCAGTTAGAAAGCAGCTTTCTCGAGCTTTACGGCACTCGCATCAACCTAGCGACTTCCATTTCAGACTATGCTTGAAAAATATGTTGACACAGTTCTCGATTAAAAGTTTGAAAACTGAACAAACAAACATTCCGGAATGTCTAATATATGGTTGCGATTTTATGGCAGTGCTTCCCACGTACTGTGCAACGCCTCCTCCGTTCAAATGTTTCTCCCATGGGAGCGAGAGATAGACGATAATTTTGACGGAATCAGTCGTACGGGACGTAACTGTCGTTCGGAATACCCCGTGTTAACGTTTTCGAGGTTGCATGATCAGAAATGACACCCCGACTGTCACGTTGATGATCTGGTAAGCGACGCTTTGATTGGTCGGATGAAAGGTCGTTCTGACGTGACCCGTAATGGGATGTCCTCAGATCTTTGTTTAGCGATAGCGAGAACTAAGATCTGATTTTAATGAGATTGACTTGTAACAAGTCACGATATAGATATATGGGGCAGATACACTCATCATTGCGCAAACACCTGGTATCATGACAAGACGAGGGTGATTCATGAACACATGATCGTAAACAAGTCGGACTCAACAATGGACACTGCTTTAGCAAAGGTTTCTGATGATCATGGACATGTTGTCGCTTTTATTTATTCTAATCACACTGTTCTGGATAGAAATATGTCGTCGACAGTTGTAATTCTTGAAAAAGGCATGTTTCCTCTCTGTTATACGGTGTGACGTAAACCCGCCTATGAGGCTACTTCTAAAAATAGCGCTGGTTCTGACAGGCTGTAACACAATATTCTACGCAACAACATTTTTATGCTTGAAAAGATTACCCGATCTTGTGAAATGGTCATAGTTCATTGATGTAACACAGAATAATGTATGTACTGGCACTAACAGACGTGCTTTGTGTTCATGACAATTATCAAACCTGGAATATCCAGATTGTTCCTAGTGACGTAATAGTGACGATGTGGATTTCCAAGTGTGTTATTTTTAGATATCCGTCATCTAAAATACAAGTTTTGAAGCAATCAAGTCAAATATCCCCAAACCTCTGCTTTTGGTAGTCTTGAAAATGACGACGTATCTACAGTTTACAGTTTTGGCTGTTTTGGGTTCGGCATCAGCTACATCCGTGTCAAGGAGTTCAATCACATGTGACCCTGGAATGTACTATGACTTTGCGATCGGGAGATGCGATCTCTGTGACGCTATATGTGACTACGCAGAGATTCAGGGTACTGTACTGGAATGTTCGACAAAATGCCCAGGTAGGTCATCGTTTTCTGTTTGATATTGTGTAATCCTGATTGTATTGAGGTAGACATGTGAACATGTTTTGTACTTACATTATACTGATGTATTTTATATTATAGAATCGGTAAATATTTAAGACAGGTAAAACTTTTACACATGACTGTTTTCAGAATTATATTTTTTGGCATATACTAATAAGGCATAACATGTACCATATACCTCTGTGTTTTATCCGGGTGAACAAATGACTTGCCTTTGCATGTGTTTGTGATGCGGATACGCTCACCTTTACGCGAACACCTGGTGTCATCACTATTTGAAAGTGAGTCATGAGCACAAGATCCTGATATAGACAGAATCGTAATGGACGGTAATAAAACTGCGATTTTTTTCTGATTATTGAAATGGTTGTGGTTCTCATATATTATTTGTTGTCAACTTTAAGATTTCAGATCCAGTTACATAGGCGACAAATCAATAGGTATGTACATAGATATTTAATTAATAAAACCGACTCATCACCGTATGGAAATAATCAACTCACCGTATACTTTCCTTTCTTGGCATGGTATACATATGATTTTGAGACGTTTCTTGAAAACAAAATTTATATTGGATTTCAAAATAAAAATGATTTGGCATTTTAAATAATCTTTATATTTGTTCTTACATAGTGTATAAAAATAATCTTTTTGAACAGGTGTGGCTTAAATTCAAGTAGATTCATGCAGATTCATTTTTTATATTTGTTGTTACAGATACAGTCACAACAACCACAGAGACAGCTTCACGATCGTGTGGGGAGGAAAGAAGGACAATCACGATGTTGTTAATAGCCTTGTGTGGTGTGTCGTTTCTGTTGATACTGATGATGGTTGTTATTATTGTTCTAACGTTCAGACGAGCACGACTTAACCAGAATAGTTACAGTGTTAGCAGAACAACGGAACCCTTGCTACGTAGAGATGGGCATGCGCAGTGTAGAGCAGCCAATGGACAGATACTAACACAGTCGGTAACTGCACAACCGAAATCAGTTGCCTCCGAACGAGATCCAGTTCCACAATTGCCCATGTCTTCTATATGAAGAGAGAAACATGATGACTAATTTCTGTTGACCGTTGTTACACATCAACGTCTGAGTAAACGCGTTTTTCTGTCACGGAAGATGGATTGTGATGACGGGGAGAGTTCAGTCCCGTTAAAGTGACCCGGAAGCAGTTCGTAACAGTAACTCAAGACCCGATCGTTAAAAGGCTGTTAATACTCATATAACGGTTGTGATGTCCAAAATATCTGTGCCAAAACACTGCATAAAATGGACAGGTGTGACACAGTGTGACTCCATTATACATAAAAAATATTGTTTATATAAGTCAGGATAAGAATTTATGGATGAACAACTTCATTGTTACAATTAAGATCGACGTTTCAGTGTAGGTTCTAACACCGTTATCAAGCAAGTGATATACAGAGTGTGATTGACAAGTATATTTACAGGTAGGAGGCAAGTTGTTAGAAGTTGTTCATCCATACATCTTATCCTTACTTAGTACTCCAACTTCTAAATGCATATCAAAGAAGTTATTGTGTATTTAGTGTATATATGCGAATTATTTATTTTAGGACCAACAGTTTGTTAAAATGGCTGCCCCTGACAAGATTAAAGCAAAGATGACACATAGTCAGATACAATTATAATAAGGTACACATCGACACATATCTATTCATGTACACGAGAACAGTTGTAGTTTGCATTTAATTAAACATATCAGTGAAAAAAAAGTTGGGCAATCATATACTGTTGTGTTATGTTTGGTATATATAATCACCAGTCTGCAAAATTTATATTTACACGTCCGATCCCCTTTCAACGTACCTGTTTTCACCAACGTACCATGAGAATGAAACAAATCCACAACACAATTTAACACACAAAAATCTACATGTGTGTGTTAGGGTGTCTAACGTTAGAAATAGTGAATTGGTTGTGGCGCGTGGGAGTTGACGGTAACGTGTGTGACATTGAGGGTGATGTGCGGAGGTTGATGGTAACGTGTGTGACATTGAGGGTGATGTGCGGAGGTTGATGGTAACGTGTGTGACATTGAGGGTGATGTGCGGAGGTTGACGGTAACGTGTGTGACATTGAGGGTGATGTGCGGAGGTTGATGGTAACGTGTGTGACATTGAGGGTGATGTGCGGAGGTTGACGGTAACGTGTGTGACATTGAGGGTGATGTGCGGAGGTTGATGGTAACGTGTGTGACATTGAGGGTGATGTGCGGAGGTTGACGGTAACGCGTGTGGCATTGAGGGTGATGTGCGGAGGTTGACGGTAACGCGTGTGACATTGAGGGTGATGTGCGGAGGTTGATGGTAACGTGTGTGAATGGATTGTGATGAGTGACAGTGGACTGAGACGTTTGTTAAATGGATTGTGATGTGTGAAAGTTGATTGTAGCCTGTGTGAAGTGGATTGTGATGTCCGTGAGTTGATTGCAGTGTGTGTTAAATGGATTGTGATGTCCGTGAGTTGATTGTAGCGTGTGTGAGTTGATTGTAGTGTGTGTTAAATGGATTGTGATGTCCGTGAGTTGATTGTAGCGTGTGTGAAATGGATTGTGATGTCCGTGAATTGATTGTAGCGTGTGTGAAATGGATTTGATGAGTGTCAGTTGATTGTAGCGAGTGTGAATGGATTGTGATGTGTGGAAGTTGACTCTAACGTGTGTGAATTGATTGTGATAAGTGGGTGTTGACTGTGACGTATGTGAATGAAGTGGGAGTTGATTGTAGCGAGTGTGAATGGATTGTGATGAGTGACAGTGGACTGTGACGTTTGTTAAATTGATTGTGATGTGTGAAAGTTGATTGTAGCCTGTGTGAAGTGGATTGTGATGTCCGTGAGTTGATTGTAGTGTGTGTGATTTGATTGTAGCATGTGTTAAATGGATTGTGATGAGAGTGATTTGATTGTTGTGTGTGTGAATGGATTGTGATGAGTGGGAGTGGACTGTGACGTTTGTTAAATGGATTGTGATGTGTGAAAGTTGATTGTAGCCTGTGTGAAGTGGATTGTGATGTCCGTGAGTTGATTGTAGTGTGTGTGAGTTGATTGTAGCGTGTCTTAAATGGATAGTGATGTCCGTGTGATTTGATTGTAGTGTGTGATGAGTGGCTTGTGATGAGTGGCAGTGGACTGCGACGTATGTGAAATGGATTGCGATGTGTGAAAGTTGAATGTAGCGTGTATGAAATGGATGGTGATGTCCATGAGTTGATTTAACGTGTGTGAATTGATTGTGATAAGTGGGAGTTGACTGTGGCGTGTGAATGAAGTGTGAGTTGATTGTAGCGAGTGTGAATGAATCGTGATAAGTGGGAGTTGACTTTGACGTGTATGAATGAAGTGTGAGTTGATTGTAGCGAGTGTGAATGGATTGTGATGTCTGGGAGTTAATTGTAATGTGTATGAATGAAGTGTGAGTTGATTGTAGCGAGTGTGAATGGATTGTGATGTCTGGGAGTTGATTGTAGCGTGTGAATGAAGTGTGAGTTGATTGTAGCGAGTGTGAATGGATTGTGATGTCTGGGAGTTGATTGTAGCGAGTGTGAATGGATTGTGATCAGTGGGAGTTGACTGTGATGTGTGTGAAGGATTGTGATAAGTGGGAGTTGACTGTGATGTGTGTGAATGAAGGGGGAGTTGACTGTAGCCTTTGTGAATGTGTTGTGTTGTCCGTGAGTTCACGGTAACTTGTGTGAATTGATTCCGATGTCCGTGAGTTCAAGGTAACGTGTGTGAATGAAATGTGATGGTTGGGAGTTGACTGTTTTACGTGTCGATTCCCAAATTGAAACAATATGTTAACCTAGAAATCTGTACGTAAAAGAATTTAGAGTGAAACCAACACACAATCAACAAATAGTTAACAATCAACAATTGTATAACAAAATTTACTAGGTTTACAAATCAATACGAATTACTGCACAGCAATTACAATGGCAGTACACAATAGAGTGGTAGTACATGATTCAATGGCTTCAAATACTAGATATGATGGCAGTGGTGATAAAAAGCCTGGGCTGGGAATCCGGGGTCATAAGTGATCTTCACACAACTGCTGGTCTTGATTTAATATCAGATGAAATGTGAGATGACAAGTGAGGTGACAGGCACTCGCCCTCTCCACTTATATTGTTTAACTAGCTTCCAGCACTTTCGACACCGTGTTTGAGCAGTCCAGTATGACAAGAACATCACAGATTATGCCACATGTTACTGTAACGCTTGTCATCCAGCCATGCTATTCCGGAATTTAACAGGTAAATCGGGCATCTAAATATAATAACATCCTCACCACTGCTTACATTAAATAGTACATCATTCCTGACAACTAATCATCGTCCAAATACAATGCAATGAACTTAATCTGAACAGAAACCATTAATACAGTTACAATACAATTGCTTAACAATAAATCACACGTGCACCGATCAATATACCATACAGGCAGCTTTTTTGTTCTGCGTATTGGTTGGACTTGGTAGAGTATAAACTTCAAACTGCCACCAGATGTATGTAATATCACAGGTGTGAATATCTTCTTAAAACACACGAACCTTCACAAACAAGTACATATATATTTATAACGAACACGCTAATAACGTACTGTCGGATATAACGAACTGTTCCTTGGTGCCCTCTATTTTCCAAATAGATGTTGTACATATGCTTATAACGAACTACGGTGGTTCCTTTGAGTTCGTTATAACTGTAGTTTATTTATTTACATGTTAAAGAGCACACGCTTTATCAATACAGATTAAAGCGTCGAAACTGCTAAATCTTAATCTATGCTTCATCTGTACATATATCATTTCTGAGTTCGCTCGTCACGCCGAAGACCCGGGTTCGATTCCCGACATGGGTACAATGTGTGAAGCCCATTTCTGGTGTCCCCCGCCGTGATATTGCTGGAATATTGCTAAAAGCGGCGCTAAACCATACTCACTCACTCACTCATTTCTGAGTGAATGATTTACGCCGCTTTTAGCAATATTCCAGCAATATCACGACGGGGGACACCAGAAATGGATTTATCATTGTGACAAACAAACTACTCATTTCAAGCTGACATACACGGTGTTAAGACTTTCTGTTCGAAATTCAATATTTGTACCGATACGGAATATTATGAAATATACAGTGCCTACAACCAATTATTGCAAATATATTTTACATTATTGATGTCGCCGACGGCTCCGACAGGTACACAGGTACAGGTGCTCTAACCACCCATCTCACATTCCGGTCATGTCATTTCGAATCAATCCAACAAGAGTGTCCTCCCTTTATTGCATCGATCTTATCAACGCTTCCTCTCTGTCGCACCCGCCCGCCTCTCTAACATAACAACCCGCGTACACGGGACAGTCAAGAAGTAGTGCAACTCTACATAAATAGATAACCGCGAGCCAGGTGTCTAACACGCTCTAGCATTCCAGAACGATGTATGACGTCATCCATTCATAAACAAGTCACGTGATCACAACATATCGCCCGTCATAACACACAGCAAAGCGGGGTTTATCTGCCGGTTCCTATATCCGTCCATGGCTCCGATAGAGTGGTTCCTCCCTGTCCAGGTGCTTGTCACCCTGGGGCTGTGGGTCGGAGCCCTGTGGGCGTTGCCGGAATGTGCCCGGGGTACTTACAAGGACCCAATCGCGGGCAGTTGTCGGGAGTGCAGCTCGCTCTGTGATCGCGCCGAGGAACAGAAGACAGAACCTCTTTGCGCCTCCTACTGTCACGGTGAGTTCGGCCACTGACCAATGTCCAGATGGGCATGTTGCATATCATAAAGTCTCTATTTATCATGTTTATTTGAAAGTCGAGTTGACGATACAGAACGGGAACATTACTGGTTCTGCATGAGGTTGTACAGGATCTCACTACCTGACATCCTCCCGCATCGCCACAAATACCCACTTAATCTCAAGGCCATTTACACACACGTATATGTCACCCAAAGTATCATATGACTAATTTACACGCGATGTCTACATAAACGTGACATGAGAAATTCAGAAAAGGAAAAATGTGAAATTGAATTGGCGTCCTCCATCGAAATAGAAACAGTTTGAGATTCTGACAGATTACGTCATACAACAGGCCACAGCATCAAAAATGCCGGACCTTTGCATACTCTTTAAAGTACATTAGGTTTAAAGCAGCACTTTACATCCTCTGGTAGCTAGTTTAACATTGAGATACCCTTCCCAGCTTTACCAGGTCACCCTGTTGTAACCTGGTGACAGCACACCAGGCAAAGCTATTCACTACATCGTTACGCTCACATGCACCGTGTTAACACTGATGTGTATCACATATTGTGAACAGCCAAGGTTGTATGGCAGTTGACATCGTCACGTTAACATCTGTAACGTGTCTCTCCTCTCCAAAGGCACCAAGGGCAAGCATTATTCATAAGATTTTTGTATTCATCAACCAGATCTAATTTGTAGTCTCTTCACGTATTAAACACTGACGAAAATCGATAATCCAATACCCTAGTACCAGCGAGAACGTCAGTCTACTGGATGCCGGGCTATTACCGAGCCGTATTCCATGGTTGTTAAGCCATGTGGTTTTGAACAGACGGTGAGCTGTTGAAGAGGGCAAATTAGGGCACATTAAGTCCCTGATCAAATGTGCCCGAGTTTATGTTGCGCGTCAAATATTGAGCAGTTTCATAAGGAATATATGATCAATATAGAATTACAGAGTTTCGCTCTTGGTAGCATTGTCCCATTCTGATAAATTGGCTTCCATTGTTAGAGAAGTGGTCTCCATTAATTCTCTAGAGTCGCCTGAATCAATCCAGTTAATTAGTACAACGGATACTGTATATTGGATCGGGGACCTATTATGTAATACGAGTATTCAATTATGCATTGGCAAATTTGAACAGAGTTTATGCATTTCCTTAATTCTAACGTATTAATATGTTGCTCTTTATTCTTATTTCTAAACGATTGTGCATTGTTTAAGACTGGATGAAAGGAACAAATAAGTTGTTTTGTGTTTTAAGATTTTGTATTAAAAACCCTGGTAGTTTTGTAACTGATGCATGGCCATAATTACTAGATAAACGATATATACTCACGCACAATAGTAACTGTGATTACGTAAATAGTCAATATCCGTAAAATACCAGTAATGTTGATGACTTTTATGGTTTGACAGGCTGATCGATCATTTAATTGTTTAAAAAGAGCGGAATTTTGTGCCCTTAAAATTCTAAAACACTTCACAGTTTTTTTGTGTTTGAGTATATTGGATCCTGCGGGTGAAAGAGATGTAGGCTTAACTGACGTTATGTACTCGACTTTGGTATCTAAATTGTAAATGGACAATTTTCGATCATGACATGTTGTCTCTTGAATTTATCCCTGCATACTATATGTCTGGAAGAATAGTTTTTCGATTGCGCAAGTAAATCTAAAGTGACGGAACTGAAACCTAGATGACGTTATTTTGAATATATATAATTCGTGGACATAACATGCTTAGAATAGTGCCTCAGCAACATACATGTATGCTGGTCGTAATTTGTATAAATAAATAAATAAAAATATATATACGTAGAATAAGTATGAAATGCAGGATTAATATATTACACTTTGAAAGGGACTGTTTTTATAAGTTTATACAACAGTTAAAATATACAAAACCTTCAACGATCTTCCCAAACCTCTTACTATTGCCTGTATTGTGTAGACTGAAATGCAGATGTGACATTTGCAGATTACAACCGGACCAGATGTCATCCCGGCTCCTACTTTAGCGTCAGTCTCAATGCCTGTGCTAGTTGCACAGTGCTGTGCTCACAGGAAACAAAGGCGTCAGAATGCCGCGAACACTGTGGGGCAGGTAAGAAACCGATACCATAACGGTATGACGATATTTGTGATATGTTCATTCTGTCGATTCTCCTATCTGATTTATGAGTTGGTGAATATAACGTTATACTCGTCCAATGTTACGAACAATATTAAGTGACGTCATCCATTGTACATGAAGTTATAGATTGATAACGTTACGTCATTTGGACAATACACTAACGTCAGCAATTCAAAACGTCAACGCCAGAGAACAGTTCATCTCCAATGTGTGCCGAAACGGAATTCATATGGCATAAAAGGCAAAGTAGTGATGAGAATTACATGAATGAATCACTGAATTAGTGATGACACCAGGTGCTCGCGAAAGGGTAAGCATGTTCTGCGATTTGGCAACTCACACAATTTCAAATTGCGCTTAATCGCTTAAGTTCAGTGACACGTCACATTTATACCCCCTGCTACATGACACGCAAAAACATCTCTGGCGAATAGAACATGTCAGTTGTCTGATGACATCCATGTTACGCGGAGCTGTCAAATTTCCGTTATCTATGATCAGTGGTGTTCCCTTCTGCCCACATCACTCTCTCCGCGATACGGCACGACCTCCTGAACGCAACAGGCCGCCATGTGTTCTCCCCTTCGGCTGTAAACACGCTGTCTTCCATCAGCTCTGAGCAGACAGAACCGGCTTTCATCAATGAAGACGACCCTCAGCCAGCCACGTCGCTGCCAACGAGGCACAAACCGGGCCCATCCCAATCTCTGACAACGATATTGCAGTGTCAATAACTGTCTTCTGTGATGCCTGTAACCCCTAATTATGTGAGCCCTCAGTCGCCAAAAGCATTCGTCGCTGATTACGTCACTGTCAGGAATCGTTTCCGGAGATGTAAAGTACGCAAGTATCGGTCTTCATTGGGTGTAGTTACCCTTGCCTGATGGTGGCATGGCTGATGTTTGCCCGGTCTGTCTGTAACGTTGTATCAGGTTAGATACAGCGACATGGGAGCAACCAAAAGTTCTAGAAAATCTGGGCGTGTATCTGTATCATACCCAGGGCCCGCTCGCGTTGTTCGGGTGTCACTTGGGGTATTATGGCGGTGTTTTTTTTATCAGCATGATTGTCTGACATGCCGTCCATATCATTTATATACCACTATTGCACTCGTAGTTTGGGCTGCTGCGGCACTTTTTCGCTTTTTATACACACAAAAAAAGTGTCATCGACTTGGATCACTTTCTGCAAACAGCAATGTTGTGTTTGGACGATGTGTTTTGTATTGATTTAGTTTGAACTTGTGTTTTTAAATTTATGCAATTTCATTTTTGAAGTAGTAAAGTTTTTTGTGGAGGTCAGTTTAAATTATGAAGCTATCTTTTTGTTTATTTCGGGTAAAAGTATTGGTCCCCAGCATCATGAGCGACGACGAAATGAAGCTGATGGTCCGGCTTGGTGACTTGGTTGATTGCATGTGATCGTATCCCATTTGCATTGATGGATGCTCATGATGTCAATCACTCAGTCACTTACAAACATCCGTTATATATACTACCGACAAAAAATCTGGAAACTAATTATTTGAATGTGGCTATCGTTGAAATCTTTACAATCATGCATGAACACACATGTTGCACGTGCAATAAGAAACGTAAGTGTGTGCGCATGTAGGGGAAAGAACAATGAAATTCATCTAAGCATACGCATAAAAATGCCTGCGAGACAGTGTCTCAATGAACAGACATACTGGCGAATTGTGGGTACACGAAAGACAGGACGACAGTGTCTCTAGTTGCTCGAATGTTTGACAAATCAAAAGTGTAATTTCTCGACAATGTGACAAGTACCGTTAAACAGGTGGGGTTGCAATGAGACCTGGGCGTGGTAGGCCTAAAAACGACACCAAGACAAGATCGTCTCATCACTTTAACTGCTCAATAGATTCAAATCTATTAGAAAACTCTGTACAATAGAACTCTGTCACACATGATAGGCAAACTGATTTAGTTATTGTGAATGGACATTTGATGATGACATTTTTCAAAATGTTGTTCGATTCGCTAGAATTCTCGTCAGAGACTGTGAACAGTCACAATGCCACACCACATAGGTCTTCAGCAACCCATGCTTGCCGTAAGAGGCGACTAACGGGATCGGGTGGTCAGGCTCACTGGCTTGGTTGATGCATGTAATAGTATCCCAATTGCGTGGATCGATGCTCATGATGTCAATCACTGGATTGCCTGGCCCAGACTCGATTATTTACAGATCGCCGTCATATAGCTGGAATATTGCTGAGTGCGGCGTAAAACAACAAACAAATAAACAAACATCATGCTCAGGTCGTCACCGATTATCTTCGACGAGAAGGTAAACGGACACTGGACAGGCCCGCTAAGTCCTCTGAAATGCCCCCCAATACAGCATAGGTGTGGTGTTCTCGTGGGGAGTGCACACAAAGACCTAGCACCCGCCAACGTGGCCAAGCTTTGGGTAGCTCTTTAGGTGGAATGGTTGGTAATACCAAGGGCAACCATACTTAAGTTAATCAACAGTTTACCATCAAGGTGTCGATCATGTATCTCCCATATTGATCTGTACGTCCGAAAATAATTTTGCCGACATTTATCGTCATTACATCTTCAATATCATTTCATCAGTTCCCTATTTTATATCGGTAGTATAGCTGGAATATTGGTGAGTGCGGCGTTAAACAACAATGAAACAATCATTTGGAAAACCGCCAAAGATTTAGGTCTTACATAAATGTTTCACGCCAAATATAACCCGTAACCCCTCGCAGAGCGATGGTTCTTCTCTAATATTTGCACACGAATGTTACAGCTTCTCGACAAATCATCCATATTACATTGTCTGCTTAGCGATGTTTCTCTAAAGTGTATCAAGTGATTGGAGAAAACCGATTGTGATGGGTCAGTCATGGGGTTTGACAACAGATTAACAATTCCGGATCACTGCACAGTAATATATGTTTTGATTTAAATGGTAAAACTGAAAAATCTCAGAAACCATTGTTGGTGTCATCATAAGCCCTTACTAACGTTTGCATTTGTATGATTCCGTTGTGTATAATTTCACTTTGTAGAAGCGAGATTTATTTTGATAGGGCGATTTGAAAAGAGACTTATATGCATGATCAATAAACGCCGTAATAGCACGATGAAGAAGACACGGCATAGGGACATGTGTGGGAGGAGCTGTAATGACGATGCATTTCAACTGCTCTCCTCCTTTAAAAATAACAGGAATATTTGCAATTTCTTCAACAAAATAATCCGATCGTTGAAAATAGAAGGTCCATTGAGCCTTATGCACGGGAACAGGGCGAATAGAGGACGGTGTTCCAAACACCATCAACTAATCTGGTAGGATGATGGTGAGAGATGATCACCCGCGGATCATGTGCAGTTGCAATGCATCTCATTGCAGTTGATCATGAGTAGTACGTTGCACACAAATGCAACCCTTTCTAAACGCAACAACTTCCTCAGGCCGACAACGCAGTGTCTCTATCCTCAATCAGTTTTAGGGGTGTTCGAGGATGGTTATAGTCACGAAACGATGTGTCCTTGACTAGATCAATGACGATCTGTCTCGATGTGGCGTTCTCTGTAACGTGCTTTTGAACAGCAGAACAGAAAGCATGGAAACGCCATCCTCTGTATCAGCATGCTGACCGCTCGGACTAAGTCATCAGTTGTGCAGGCCTGCCGTTGATGCTGTAGATTTGGGTCTGCGATCTGGTTTGTGACAGAGATACCAGTACTTACAGTCCTGTGTCGTCTCTTACTTATGGTTATGGTTTCAATCAAATGTGTCTTAAATCCTTGAAAAACTTCACAGATCTCACTATGGCTATTTTTCAGACTTCAGTGCAAGTATCGCCAAGGCTCCTAAAAGGTTGAGCACAGGGATGGTTGTGCTGATTGTGTTCATTGTCATCGTTGTCTTCATCCTCGGCATCTTTGGGGCTGTGCACCTCCTCAGGCCGGGCAGCCGACTGTCGTGGAGAAGTAGCAACCCATATCGACGACCTCAGTCGGCACCGGATGATTTCGATGACCCTCACAGTATTTTTTCTTCAAATGGTATGCAATATTCGTGTGACAGTGCTTTCCCTTCGAATGGTATGTACTTTTCGGACCTTGCTCTACGTGTGGTTGTCCTCGATGTTTGTGAATGATAATATTATGTTGTAACTTTCGTTATGGTTCAACACATAATAATCAATACTTCAGACGAAGAACCACGTGTGAAGGTTTCAGGCTTCCTAAAACAACGTTGACGTAATACAGACACTATTGTTAACGTAATACAGACACCATTTTGGACGTTATATAGACACTATTGTTAACGTAATACAGACACCATTTTGGACGTAATATAGACACTATTGTTGACATAATAGACACTATTGTTGACATAATAGACACTATTGTTGACGTAATACAGACACTATTGTTGACATAATAGACACCACCGTTGACGTAATACAGACACTATTGTTGACATAATAGACACTATTGTTGACGTAATACAGACACTATTGTTGACATAATAGACACCACCGTCGACGTAATACAGACACTTGTTGACGTAATACAGACACTACTGTTAACGTAATACAGACACCGTTGTTGACATAATACAGACACCATTGCTGACGTAATACAGACACAATTGTTGACCTAATACAGACACCATTGTTGACGTAATACAGACACGATTATTGACGTATAACAAACTGCATTGTTCACGTAATACAGACACCATTGTCGACGTAATACAGACACCATTTTGACATAAAAGAGACTCCATTGTTGGCGTAATACAGACACTTGTTGACGTAATACAGACACTACTGTTTACGTAAAAGACACCATTGTTGACATAATACAGACACCATTTTGACATAAAAGAGACTCCATTGTTGGCGTAATACAGACATCATTGTTGACGTAATACAGACACTTGTTGACGTAATACAGACACTACTGTTAACGTAATAGACACCATTGTTGACATAATACAGACACCATTGTTGACGAATTACAGACACCATTGTTGACATAATATAGACACCATTGTTGACCTAATACAGACGCCATTGTTGGCGTAATGCAGACACCATTGTTGACGAATTACAGACACCATTGTTGACGTAATACAGACACCAATGTTGACGTTATACATACACTATTGTTGAGGTAATACAGACACCACTGTTGGCGTACTACAGTCATCATTACGAAATTGATGTGAAATGATGTCACAATAATACCACAACAGTCTATCATAATGCTGTCACTGCTTGGCCATATAGCTTTTCCTAACACGCTGATATTCAACCAGTTCACATACACTCATGTCGCAAAATGCCCTCTGTCCCTCCTATTACCAATGCACATCACGAACACCTGGTGTCAGTAGTGGTGCTTCAATGATTTATTGCTCAAGACAATGCTGCTGTTGTTACAATTCCATCGAACAGATAAACGAGATACTACTTACACGCTATAGTTGCTTGAAAGAACACATATTTCTATACCGCACTTTTCCAGACATATCTGCTCATCCCGGGACGTTACGTTGTTTGAAAAGCATCTCATGACACAGTAATGCTTGCTCTGGATAATCACTTATTATGTCTTGTAAAATATTGAATGGAAACGCCCTGCTTGAATAGCAAATCCAATTAGGAATAATTGGCACAGTCGAGATCATTGTTGGAATAACAATAGGTATCGTATCTATTATCTATATGACCTTGAGCTGGATGAGCTTGGTAACAATGTCAACATCATTTATTTATATTACAAATAGATTTACCTTCTTCATGTACAAGATTTCTTTCCCAAACACTAAGACCTTTACAAACCAAATATTACGTTATTTTCAAGCATAAGCACATGCTACTAATGTTTACTAGTTAGGTTTCTACATTAAAACAGCATAAACTTAAAACTATCACAAAGTACACACTAATGCACTCCGGCTCAATCATTGATGTCATGTTTTAAACTGAGCATTCGTTTCAAACATGGAAATGAAAAACGTCGACGTCAGAGGCTAGATTATCTGAAGAGACACATTCCACTGGGCGTAAAAGGGAAAGTAGTACTGAAACTTTATGAATAGGGCGTAGATACTGAAGTGTTCATGTATACACAACGTTTAAGTCACAAATTCCTGAGAAATCTCTGCTATAATGTAGAGCTGATTGCAAGATTAGTGCAATTAGTGCACTATAAAATAGTGATGATACAATGTGTTCGCGGGAAGGTAAGCGTATCCTGCCCCACCGGTGGCACCCGTCACAAACACATGCAAAAGCAAGTCAGTTGTTCACCTGAACAAACACGGGGACACACGGTACAAGTCAAATTAGGGAATCGCCACATATCTACCGTAAAACGTTTTGAAAGCTTTGAAAGCATTTAAAGGTTTAACCTTGATGAAACCACTTTTGAACAAGAGTAGTTTGACGCTCTCTGCAGTCTTCACAAAGAGAGAGCATGTTTATACCTCAAAAGGTGCTGGAATATGGCTCTACATAAAGGGAAAAAGTTGACTATTGGAAAGTTGAAGTCATCCCTCTTATCATACACTCATGTGGATAGTATGTTTTAGTCTTAATGTGAAACAGACGAGGTAGTTTCACTGGTATCCTGTTTGGCAATTGACCGTTATTGAACGATATCAGATCATCCACAGACCTGAAGGTTTAGGTTAAACATCATGGCAAAAGTCCCGTGTTTTGATTTTGCACATTCCGTTTATATATTCCAATTCATAACTACATGTATATCTATGGTCACCACGCTTAGAAACACATACCCCATGGATCAAGGCAAGGAGTTTTCCCTTAAGTGTGCCATGTGGGAGTACAACGCTGAAATGTTGTAACAAAAACAGAATTACACTTGGTTCTGTTCAGAGATTGCAAGAATTTAAGCCAATCGTTTGAGTTTTTGAGAATCCACTTGGTATTAATCCCACTTGTCTCAAATACTTCCTGTTGATATACAAGTCCTTCCTTGAGACCCGTGAAAATTCCAGGGTAGAATAGGTCTTCAGCAACCCATGCTTGCCGTAAAAGGTGACTCTGCTTGTCGTAAAAGGCGACTAACGGGATCGGATGGTCAGGCTCACTGAATTGGTTGATGCATGTCATCGATCCCAATTGCGTGGATCGATGCTCATGATATCAATCACTGGATAGTCTGGTCCAGACTCTATTACTTACAGACAGCCGTCATATAGCTGGAATATTGCTGAGTGCGGCGTTAAACAACAAAGCAACCAAGCAACCAACCTTCCTAGATTTTGTTAAGGAGTATGGTCAGGGATTTGGTGGCACATTTGCTAGACCCAGCAACATATATATATCTTGTAAAAAATGTTATCGAGCTTTGGGTTCATGCAAAGTTGTTATGGGAAATATTATATTACTGGCTCATTGTTGTGTGTTCATTAATTTTCTTACCAATGAAGATTCGGGGTAGAATAGGTCTTTAGCAACCGATTCTTGCTGTAAAAGGCGACTGTCTTGTCGTAAGAGGCGACTAACGGGATCGGGTGGTCAGGCTCCCTGACTTGGTTGATGCATTTTATCGTATCCCAATTGCGTGGATCGATGCTCATGATGTCAATCACTGGATTGTCTGGTCTAGACTCGATTATTTACAGACCGCCGTGATATGGCTGGAATATTGCTGAGTGCGGAGTTGAACTACAAACAAACAAACTAACATTAATTTTCTCTCTGTGTCCCCAGATGACCTGGCACCGTTGGAAGAAGAAGATCACAAGAACCCTATGGGATTCTCAGATTTGAATCTTACCATACAGAACAACCCAGTGACGTAGGCACTATAGCTATGGTGTGAATACATACAAACTTGGGCACGGGCCATGGGCCGTAACATAGCCGTGAAGATCGATAACATCGTGATACCTTGCACTGAAGAAATGTTCACATGTGAGCAGGGGTTGCCTGAACGTTATACCATTACTCTATTAGCGGCACCATTTCGTGAGTCACCTAGTTTCAACTAGATATATACACCACTGAAAAGAGACTGTTGATATGTGAAGCAGTACTATGTTTTATAGTGGCACTACATCGTGAGAACCTTATATGTCCCGGATGGTCTTAGATGACATCTCACTTGTCTGCTTCTCAGACCATCATGTCGCCTTTCACGGATTCGGATAATTCTACAGCACTAGATACTGTTGCAATGTGAATTTCAATTAATGTACAGTGATGACAGGTTTTCCGGACGATAACTGAAACGTTTAGGCGTGGACAAAGACCATTATTCCTTAACATATTCGTTAATGTGGAACTTCGTTAAACCGGACGATCTAACAGAACGGTGTTGTCCGGATTAACGAGATCTCACTGTGTATAACTCCATACAGCTGGCACAGCTTCTGCATCTATTGAATCTGCATCATTACACTACGTTATGCAGCATTGCATGAGTAGGCATTATTTACTCATTTTCATATATGCACCGAAACACTTTGAAAACGCATATTGGTAATATTTGACAAATTGGTCACAAAATTCAAATTACGTTCTGTGTATTAAGCATGAGAAAATCAAACACAACAATGTGATTTTGCCACCATAATTATTATTCTTTGTCATGCGAGTAAATATTTACTGCTAAAATCCTTGTCTTTCCCTTCGCTTTGATTATGCGTTTTCATTGTGTGAGTATATATGCTTCATAATTTAAATTATAATAATCATAATTAGAATCACTTTATTTTGTTGCTTTGCAACATCATATGACATCCAAGTTGATGAATAGATACTTTTTTATCCCACCCTCAGCTGAGACTATGGAATTTAATGTACCGTATTGGACGTAATAAGCGCCCACGGCGATATTTGCTAATATATTGGCTAGTGAACAACCCCAATTAGCACCCCTTCCGATTGATCAATGTACACATGACTTATTTATTCGTGTATAATACGCACTCGTGTGTCATATGCGACCTTAATTATGGGCAATTAAATTCTGGGTAAGTATATCTGTCGTGTATAATACACACAGACTTTTATTTTGTATCATTTCAGGCTGTCAGCATAAACCACGAAATTTACAATCTTTCAACTCTGTATTTTTTTCTCCAAAATGTTATTCTAGTAAGAGCCCCCTATTTCAAATTTTGAGAGCGCCCCTTACGTCGAATACGGTATATAATTCTGACTTGCTGTGAATCACCCTAGGTTTTTCGTGTCCTGTTTCCGAGTAAATTTCAACCTGGATGGAGATCCCCAAGTTGTTACACCATTATTATGATTCGAAGCATTTAATGTTCATAGTTTTCGTTCGACATTTATATGTTCCACATTATTAATCAGACATTTTATCTCACTTTGTATAATAAGTAGATAGTTTGTTTCACCAGTGTATGACATTAAGGTGTCATGTGACAGGGGTAGTGACATAAACACATGTCTGCAACAATCTAATACTGCTTTAACACCTGTGTCAGAATGCTACATACATGAGTATATACTACTCAAAATAAATTAAGGACCACCCGTTTCTTCCATATTGCTATAGTTCATGTCACGCATATTAACGGCATATTAATTGTAGTAATATTGAAGAATCGGGTTGTCCTTAACTTCTTTAGGGTAGTATAAGTCGCAGAGAATCGGATGATACAACGAAGTCAACCAAAGTCAGGAAAGAATGCGTTATATTAATATCAGGGACTGTGGTCGATATCTCGATATCCTTCTTAGCATATCATCACTAAGTCATTTAAAGCATTTGTTTCTCTTACAATTTATCATGTAATAGGAGCGATGAGTAAAGCGTCGTTTAGTCGTCGCGCCGAAGGCCCGGGTTCGATTCCCACGTGGTTACAATGTGTCAAGCCCATTTCTTGTGTCCCCCGTCGTGATATTGCTGGTTTATTGCTAAAAGCGGCGTAAAACCATACTCACTCTCATGTAATACGCGTCACTATGTATTAAATGTACATTCCAAATTTCTTCATTCGGGCGCTCTGGCAGTTGTATTTTGTAGACAACTGAATTTTCATTATCTTATCATTTACAAAGTGTTATTTATTGTTATTCCATTTATTTAAATGTTACGTTTAATTTACAAATGGCGACAACATTATAACAAAGTACATTCATGTCCATCACGTTGAAGTATTTGTTTTTCAACTATAGTGAACGGGATCACATTTAAAACTACGTATAAACTGTCCCACCTTTTCGCATGCTAATTACGCCGTGAAGATCGATGCAACCTCTCCCTGCATAATATATGCCGCTATCTCAAAATTGTTGGCGTGGATCAACCCTTATTTGATCTAATCAGCCATTTTATCCTTAGCTAACCCTGGCCGATTGCGTGTCATCGTACCCCAGTCTATCATCCCTTGGCAAGAGTGTTCACTAGCCTTTACCAAAGTCAACTTTTCAGTTAAAAAATAGACTTCTCGATATAGGTTAGTGGGCACTCTTTCCAAGGGGAGATGGTCCCATTCATCACATTGTCGTTTATCCATTTTATCGGATCTCCCTTGGCTTATATATGGCGTGGACACATTCAAATTCGCCATCATAGATTCGTTTCGGAAGTGACGTCACCAGCACCCTCCCTCTTATCACTTACTTAGCACATTGGCGCTTGTTTTAATAATGAAAGGACAGTTTAATTTGATTCAACGTCTATGTTTAGCGTTGTGTCGTACTAACTCTACTCGAAACAAGGATGTAGTGGCGATGGGTTCGGGGTAATTATCATAAAAGAAAGGAAACGGATAAACTGGATAACCGAGGTGGCATGGGACATGGCTCGTGTGTTCAGTCTCAGGTCTGACTGGACCAGACTCGATTAGTAACAGATTATTGTCGACCGCCTCATTAAACACTCACTCACTCCTCACAGAATGCGCTGCATGCTCTGAAGTCAAATTGATGTCATTCATCTTCATCTGCCTGACAATCTTATCTTCAGTACCAGTGAGTCAGTGTCTGTCAGTGTAATACGTTAATCTGCATCACTTTTACTTGCAGAAAGCCGGCGAATTATACCCAAAGCATACATGCATCACAATGAATTTCCCTTTTTGCACAAACTACCAGTACGGACTCATTTGTAAAAAATAAAAACTGTGATGGTAAAATAAATATGAAAAATGCCGCGCTTTAAATTAGCGGTCGATGACTACCTTTTAACTGAAGTGGGTCACTGCGACTTCACTGTGACATTACTTTTAATGTATACATGTATTCGGTGGATCACCTGTTAATTCTAACAACACTAGTCTTTCAAACTACTTACCACGGAAGGGCGTGTCGGGTTTAGTCAAATTGTAATGTGTAACTTTTCTAACTGATTATGATAATGAAGAGCACGTTGAGCCCAATCATAGTAAAAGCCGTACATCCAAAAACGGAACAATGGTTGTGCAATGTCAATAATAGCAATACCGTTATATGTATTAATTCCCTGTTTCTGTTCTGTTGATGTGCATTTATTCATGACGCTGATGTAAAACATTGTCGTACTTGTATTAACTATAGCTAGCTACATTTCATGTGTTTGTTTTTCTTTAATGTATTTTATTACCGATCGCCATAAACGATTTTGATTCTATCCCGCCGATCACAACTTGACTGAAATACTGATTTGGATAACACGCAATGTCAAGGACTGCACACACAGTGTTACAGACAGGATCAGACTTCTTGTGGTTCGCGTCAGTCGGGTCTGTAGGTCCAAATAATATAAAAATAATAATAAATTTCAATTTTGAATGTAATTGTTTTTTATTTCCTCAAAATGTTATGTAGGCAGAGAATGCATATGTGGGGACGTGAGTTTCTACATTTTCAACATGTTTTAATTACAGTATTAATATTGATAGCGACAGTAAATAAGTGTTATTTTTAACATTTTACTTATTTCTGGTCAGCGGAATAAAAAGGGCTCCACTGCTTTTTATTTGTTCACACTTCAATTTTTGGGAATCGGCAGATTCGTAAACCAAGTGTAAAAAGGTCAGGCCCAAAGATTGAAAGTACATGTACTTTGGTTTCTGACCCGTGAAGATTCGGGTTAGAATAGGTCTTCAGCAACCGATGCTTTCCGTAAAGGGCGACTATGTTTGTTTGGCGACTAACGGGATCGGGTGGTCAGGCTCGCTGACTTAGTTGATGCATGGCATCATATCCCAATTGCATGGATTGATGCGCATGATGCCAATCACTGGATTGTCTGGTCCAGACTCGATTATTTACAGATCGCCGTCATATAGCTGGAACATTGCTGAGTGCGGCGTTAAACAACAAACAAACAAACACAGCGGTGTGGTCAGAGAAATACTGAAATTATCTCGATTATGTAAGTCGAAGCGATAATTATTAATAATAGGAACGAAGAATGATGGCAACGTTAAACACGAGTATTCAAGGTTTGGCTTCATATTCTGTTTGTCTTATGTCTTGTTGTGCAACATTTTAGTGGTAATAGTTCTTTTTAAGAGATCAATGTTTGTGATCATGTGTTAAAATGTTATTTTGTAGGTTTTTGCATACTATTGTATTCATTTGGACTACCTATGACCATTAAGAAAGCGTAGGAATCCAAGATGGCCGCCAAACTATGTTTACTTTCTGTACTATACCTTGTTTGAAACTAATCTCCACACGACTACAACTCCATTTTTTTCACTTGAAAATTCTTGACCTATATTAAAACAATAACAACGGGTCTAGAAATGATCCTTCGACTTTACGGAACCATGTCCAAATGTCATACCTTCAGAAAACTGGGTGGGCTAGGTCGTCATGCTGGCCCCTGGACTGTAAGAACATTTGAAAATATCATCCTCACATTGCATGACAATAATTATGTATTTATTTTGTGTAATACTTGTTCAGTGGTATTAGCTAGCGATGATTTTGTACAAAACATTTAAGCTTACATTGATTAAAATTTGTTTGTAAGTATATGGTTATTTGTTTTGCAGTCGTTCCATGGGTGTAAAAATGGAAGCGCGTGTTCGCCAATGAAATAGAGCGGAAGGAGTTGCGTCCCTTCAAAGCGCCATGGTGAGCCGGTGTGCATGTCATCTCTCGACAGTAATGCTTTTGCTTCAGTTTAATCTGTAAATCACTTCTATTTCCCACCTCAAACGCGTGTTCTTTATAGGAGTTTGTACCTGCAATGCCTTGCTTTGGAACACATGTATTTGGGAATACCTTACGATCTAATACTGATCACCAACACGATAGGTGATGGGCTACCACAGTTGTTAAAGTGTTTGCCTTTTGGGGCTTATGACCCAGGTTCGATTCCCCGCATGGATAATTATCGATATAATGATAGCAATATACTAGCAGCTATATGGAATTGGTTTCACACACTGTACTATGTGGGGAAAATGTACGCCAGGACCCTTCTCGCCCATTCGCCTCCACGGGAGCAGTGATATACACGTCCTGTCAGGAAAAGATCCCGGCGGGACTGAAAGCTAGACGTGCACAAGTCTGCAAGGCAATAAGTATTTGTTTATATAATACATTCTAGATTATATAAATAATAAAAACAAGTTAATTACCCGATAGGTTAGTCAGATAACGAATAAGTGTTGTAATGAGTAATATTAATTAACATTGATCAAAATTAGGAATTCAGTTTCTCCAAACCGCGCTTTGTGTGTGTGTGTCTGTGTGTGTGAGTAGATGAGTGCGTTGGGTGTGTGTGTGTGGATGTGTGTGTCAGAATTAGTCTCATCACACACACACACACACACACACACACACACACACACACACACACACACACCATTCAGTCCCACTTTATGTTTTCATTAATCCACGTGTTGTTTGACGCCGTATTGTGACTTGTATAGAATATATACTGGACCAGATGAACCTGTGATCGATATCATGAGAT